CTAAAATATCAATCATTTCATTAAGTTTGATGCAAAACCTTAAACAACTATCGGAGCATCTTTTCTTAAGTTATGAACTACTTTAAATGTCAAACTGAATCTCAAATATGACAGATTCCTTGGTTCTTCGGTCAAATTAAAGCGTGTCAATACTCAACAATCATCCAAAAATTGTCCCCGTAATTAATTGTATTAAAACAATATAACTATAGAAGTTTGTTGATTGTTAATTTGGATGTTATGTTTGACATGATGATTCTAAATCATCGATAACATCAAATTTTCATGTCCTTTTCAATTTATTTAGTATATATGACATTTTTGGCTGCATTCATTGTATAATCAAATGTATATAAAGAAAAAATTAACAATAAAATAATTGTGAATCCCACGAAATAATTTATATAGATTACACTTCCTACTTAGTAGGAATTGTACAAATTTCTCTAAATAATAAAAAAAAAAAAGTACTGAAGCCAAAATTCCATCACTAATATTATACAACACTCCTTTTAAAAAATAGTTTTTAGAAAAGTCTAATAATGCTATGTTCGAATTACTATTACTTTTTTGAAGGACACTGAACGTATTTTATTGAATAATGATATTTTTAGTGTCTTTTCTTTTTTGAATGTATTTTTTTAGAAGATTTGTATATGTAATCCAAACATGCACTAATAGTTAGTATGGATATAAAAAAAAAAAATTGCTTTTGAAAAGCCTAATATGTCTGGATAGACGTTTTTAGTAGGCATTTGGCACTGTAAACGTTATTTGGAATTTGTTTTAGTATATTTGACAGTTTTAGAGCAAAATTTGTTTTGCACATATATGAAAACTATGAACCTATGATTTCAGTTACTGATGAATAATTCTGTGATAGAAATTCCACCTCGTCCGTTCCACTTATGTCTACTGTCCTTGTTTGATTATTCTTTTCACATGGTGTCCTGAATAAATGTGTAATTCATTTTTTTTAATTTCTTTAATTTAATTTATGTTGGGAATTTTACGAATAAAAAAAAAATAGTTGCTGGAGTGGATACCCAGTCACGTACGTATGTATTAGCTATGATAAGTAATTCCATTTTCTTTAAAATAGAGTAACCTTAAAAACAGTAGCGGATGATGTTGTGTTGTGAGACTCACTAGAGTAATCGAATTTGTAGCCGGCCAAAGACGGCTTTCTCCCTCTTTACCCTATTTGACAAAAGAAAAACGCCAAATATAGCTTCATACATCATCCATTTTCTTAATCACTTTGAAGACTTTTCATTTTTCAATCACATATGGAATAGTACTGTTAATATGTACAAGGCAGATAAATATGCATGAGAAAAATGATTTATTTCTTCTAAAATTTTTATAAGAATCAAATTAGAAGTTCTTGTATATAAAAATCAATGTCTCATGAGGGGTGGAGGGAGTATATCTTATTAAAACAAATGGAAGAGAGTATTTACCTTTTGTTCTTTAAGTAATATTTTAGAGAGTAAAGACATAAGTTGACTGATTTCACTTGAATGGTGAACCAAGAAACAGACTGTGTCGATACCATAGTTTCTACATTGTTGAATAATGAATACAATGTACAACTAACTACAAAGGATCTCTATCCATGTTGATCCATTGGTCTTACCGCTACTAGTGTGGATGCGTCGAATCCAGCGCAGATTCACATGGAATTTATGATGTGGATTAAGAAATTAAGAAATCAAAAGCATCTTTTATTAAAAAATTTAACAGTGCATTCTTACATGTAATTTTCAATAAGTTATATATATATATATATATATACATATATATATTAATGAGTGCTATTAACAAGATTAGATTAAAAATATACTCATCAGTCTTTTTAATATAATACTAATGAGACTTATTTTTTTAAAATAATTTTGTTTTAATTTTACAATTATTGATTAAGAATATAACCAAGATATATTATATAAATAAGAATGAATTCTCATCTTATAATTCAATTTTATAAGATTTAGTTAAGTTAAAAATTATTTTCTAAATTGATATCAATTAAGAATATAACCAAGATACATTATATAAGTAAGAATGAATTTTCATCTTATAATTCAATTTTATAAGATTTAGTTAAGTTAAAAATTATTTTCTAAATTGATATCAAAGTTTATCTTAACGATTGTTATTAAATATATTAAACTATTGTCAAATGACTCAAATATCCAATTTTATAAATCTTATTTTTTTAGAATATTCAATCATTGATGGATAATTATAAAAAATATTTTATATATCAATATGAATTAATGAAATAGAGCATAAAAATTATCAAACTTAACAAAAAATTGTAGATTTTTTAGTATTAATTTTTTTTAAAGAATTTTATGATTAAATCATTGAAATTTAATATAGAATATGAGTTATTTTACTTCACTCAATAATTTATGCATTATAATATTTTTATGATTATTCATTAATTTATACGTTAATTTTATATGTTGATTTGAATGAATGAAACAGAATGTCAAATAAATTTTATATTTTTTAAAAGTTTGCATACTTAATCTATGCATAATTTTCTTAATTCAATGATTAGATTATTAAAATTTGATATAGAACATTAATTATTGAGAAAGTAAGTCTAAATAGACATATTTTTATAAAAAGTGAATCCTTCCTCTCTCTCATAAGTTAGCTTGTTAATATTGAATTAAATTAAAAGAGAAAATAATATATAAAAAAATAAAAAATTTCTTTAAAACATTATTATTAAAGAAAGTTCTTAGTAATACATTGGGTCAATTGAATTTTAGTCTTTTTAATTGCCGAATAAAATTTTGACCAATTAAGGTCTCTTATAGTGTGTTTGGATGGGAAATTTAAATGGAATAATTCATTTATTTGAAGGATTTCAAATTCTTTGAGATGAAATACCTTGTTTGGATGAAGAATTTATAAGGAATTTGAAATTCAAGCATTTGTGAAATTTTTTAAAATATAAGAATTTCAAATTCTCCCAAAAAAGTAAGAATTTGAAATTTCTCATTTTTTTTCTTCTTATTTCACTTATATATTTTATCTTATCTCTTATCTCTTCATGTTTTTAATTATTGAATATTCAAAAATATTTTTAAAATTATTAAATATTATCTAATATTAGTTTTTAAAATTATTAAATATTTAAAAATTAGCTAATATTTATTTTTATAAAATTAAATTTAAAAATCTCAACATATAAATACATTTTTAAAATAATTTTTATCATGGTAGAATCAAATTATCGTATTCAACTCAACAATTTAAAATTTGAGAAATTTGAATTGACTTATCCAAACAAAATATTTTAAGAATGATAGAAATTGAAATTAAAGTAATTCAAATACCAAGAATTTAAAATTTCTTGAATTCGTAAAATTTCTCATTCAAACACACTATTGATTTTTTTGGTTAAGAATTGTAATTTTTGAACAAAAATTGACTGTTAGTGATCTTAAACTTTTTAAAAGTTCAGTTATTAGTCTTTGAAACTCCATTAAAAGGATAAAAATAGTGTGGCTCAAAGTAAAACTTGTTATAAAAGAAAAAAAAATAGAGAAAACAAACAAGACAATATGAGAAGGAGAAAAGAATCTGACTGATATATTATCTCTGGGGAAGACTAACTTATTTATAAATACATGTAGTAACTGAACAATTACATAAAAAGAAAATAATACATAACGAAAATATAAATAATAATGATTGATAATAAATATTAGCATTCACTAATTGAGCCACTAATTATTATTCATAACATTAATTTAAAAAAAAAAAGATTCAAGGGCCTTGACTAGTCAATTAAAAACCTTAGCAAAAATAGCCGATAAACTTTTGTCAAGGAATTAAATATTGAATTTTGAATAAATTTAAGTATAAAATTTTATAAATTCTAACGTTTTATTTAAAAAAATTTAAAAAAAATAACTATTAAAAAGTTTATATTAAGATTGTTTTTCTAATTTTTAAGATAGATATAACAAATAAAAAAAAATCACATGACCCAAGAAAACAAATTTACGAAATAAAAAAAAGGTTTAAAGGATCTTAATCCAACTATATTTTGTATAAAACCAACATTTAAAATTGTATAAAAATATTTTAAAACATTTTCTACAAACATAATCCAAATTTTCCATGACATACATTGAAGAATCTCTCAAGAAAGGAAAAAGGTAAATTATAAAAAATATTAATGTATGGCCAAGAAAAAAAAAAGGGTCTATCAAAGAAAAGAAAAAAAAGAAAACAAAGGTACAAAATTAGATAAAGATGAAAGATGCTCCAGCAGCTCCAAAGACTTACCCCCCACATGGGTATGATTGACGTTTCGTTGATGGAATATTCAATGTTGGATGAGAAGGGAAAAAAAAAAGTTAAATCAATAATAACACGGAGAGAGAAATTTAATTATAATTTTTTTCTTAAATATATTTTTAATTCTTTAAATTTAAAATAAAATTATTTTTAATCTTCCAAATCTAAAATTGAACTCTTATAACTTAGAAATATCTTATTTTAGTTCTTACACTTAATTTTTTGTTAAATATCGTTGTAATTAATGTCTTGTTAATAAAATTATTATATTAAATTAATAGTGTATAATTATTTTAATTTATCATTTTTATATATTTTATCGATGATTTGAGATATTAAAATAATAATTTTATAAATTATATAATTAAAAATAATAATTTTAAATTTACAAGATTACAAATAAATTTATTTAAGCTAACATTTTATCTTTCGATTCATATTTAATTTTTGTTTTCTCTCGTGTTTTTCTTGTCTGTCAATATTAGCAATCACATCATAATGAAATCCTTTGAATGACATAAAATAAAATGAAACGAAAGGAATCCAGTCATCCAGTTTTGGTTATCCGAATCCACAAAGTAGAAAAACCCGTGTTTGATCTTTGAGAAGGGACATTTCCGCGGCGACAAAGAGCTTGCGTAAGCATCTGAAATGCGTAGCTGCTTGGTTGCCAAGTGGTAGCAACTGAATAGTACAAAAATTTTACTCCAAATTTGTCATATTATTATAGTACTCTCTTCTACTCATCACTCTCGCCCTTAAATTCTCCCGTTACCTCAAACACTCCTCGCACAATCAATTCTCCCCCTTTCGGAAATGGGTACCACCGGAGATGAAAACGCAGAAACCAAGTGGCGTTTTCGTTACAATTCACCCTTGGTCCAGATCGTGCTCATCGGCTTGGTCTGCTTCTGCTGCCCCGGCATGTTCAACGCCCTCTCCGGCATGGGTGGCGGCGGCCAGGTCAACTCCACTGCCTCCAACAACGCCCTCACCGCACTCTACACCGCCTTCGCCGTCTTCGGCATCCTCGGCGGCGGAATCTACAACATCCTAGGACCCCACTTAACCCTCTTCGCAGGTTGCTCCACCTACGTCCTCTACGCGGCTTCCTTCCTTTATTACAACCACTACCAACACCAGCTCTTCGCCATAATCGCCGGCGCCGTTCTCGGAATCGGCGCCGGCCTCCTCTGGGCGGCGGAGGGCGCCATCATGACCTCGTACCCGCCGGAGAATCGCAAGGGCACTTACATTTCCATTTTCTGGAGCATCTTCAACATGGGGGGTGTCATCGGCGGCTTAATCCCCTTCATCTTAAATTACGGCCGTGGCGACGATGCGGCCACCGTGAACGACGGGACGTACATCGGGTTCATGGTATTTATGTCGGTTGGGGCTGTTCTGTCGTTGAGTATTCTCCCGGCGAGTAAGGTGATCCGCGACGACGGAAGCAGGTGCAGCAGCATGTTGTACTCGAACGTGGTTTCGGAGTGTTTTGAGATTGCGAAACTGTTCTACAACTGGAAGATGCTTCTGATTGTGCCGGCGTCTTGGTCGAGCAACTTCTTCTACACGTACCAGTTCAACCACGTGAACAAGACGCAGTTCAATTTGAGGACGAGGGGGTTTAACAACGTGTTCTACTGGGGCGCCCAGATGGTGGGCTCCGTGGGGATTGGGTATGTGATGGATTTCAGCTTCAAGAGTCGAAGGAAGAGAGGGCTGGTGGGGATTGCGGTGGTGGCCCTTCTTGGTTCTGCTATTTGGGGGGGTGCCCTTGCCAATGAGATCCACCCCCACCCTAAGATCTTGGACTTCAAGGACTCCCGATCTCGCTATGCCGGACCCTTTCTCTTGTACTTCAGCTTCGGCTTGCTTGATGCCATGTTTCAGAGCATGGTCTATTGGGTTATTGGAGCACTGGCTAACGACTCTGAGATTCTTAGCAGGTACTCTGGCTTTTATAAAGGGATTCAAAGTGCTGGGGCTGCCGTCGCTTGGCAAATTGATAACCATAGTGTCTCCTCTATGAACCAGTTGATTGTCAATTGGGTGCTCACTACTCTCAGTTATCCCTTGCTGTTACTTTTGGTTCTCTTGGCTGTCAAAGACGAGAAGGACCCACAAGATGACTCCGTCAAACAAGTTGCTCCTTCATCGTCAACATAGATACTCTTATCTCTCTTCTCATTTGCTTTTTTATCACATATAAAACTCACAATGTCTCTTGCTACTCACTTCTCTCTTGTTTTTGCCCACAATAATGCAATTTATATCGCAACTATCAAACCTTGCAATTATTCTAGGATGGATAACTCGTCACGTGAAAGGGAATAAATATTTACCAAGGGTGAAAATTAGATATACATACAGATTTTTCAATGACTATGATTATGGGTTCACTTCATTATTTAATATGTTTAGCCCATTTATTAAACTTATTTTCGTTACGACAAAAAAAAAAACTAACAAATTAATTCAGAAGACATAAATAAAAAATAAGTTTCTATTATTGAAATGTCTTGCTCAAAGAAGTGGAATGATATGAATCAGATGGCCCCTGAACCATGTAGTACTAAGAGTTACAAGTAATGCGATTACACAGTTACAAGAGTTGCCTCGGTTTTCTCCTCTGCTTTGGGTTGTTCTGCCTCAACTTCTTCCTTTTCAGGTTCCTTGGTCTCAACTACAGCTTCAACCTTAACTTCTTCCTTTTCAGGTTCCTTGGTCTCAACGACAGCAACAACCTCAGCTTCCTCTACCTTGGCTTCCACTTTCTCCTCTTTAGAGTCGGAGACATCTACCAAAGGCTCTTCATTCTTCTCAGCCTCTTCTTGGTTGTTCTCCTGCACCATACAAATGTTATTTTAAATTAGAAAAAACAAAACTAAAGAAAATAACAATCATCCAGTTTCTGTCAATCGTGCCACGTTAGAGATTTCCGTCTATCAATATATAAATAAAAAATGCTTAAAACTTTTGAACTCAAATATAAGTATATTGTAATAAAATGAATTTTATTTAATATAATATTCTTAATTCAAATATATTTATATCATTATAAATGAGGACATTATCTATCATAAATGTGATCCAGAATATTTATGAGATGTAATATGTATTTTATATGAGATTTTAAAAATTAAATATATTTAATAAATTAGAGAGAGAGAGAAGAAAAACCTGAGCAACATCGACCTTTTCCTCAACATTCGGTGGTGTGACAGGAGTTTCAATGGGAGCCTCCTCTCCTTCGTTCAAGGCAACATCCTTTGGACCGCTCACACAACCCCCCATTATTAAATGTAAGTTAAATAAGGAGGAATGAGAAGGTTGTGTGATGGAGGGAGAAAGCTCCAATTCACAGTACAAAGGAAAGAATGTTGAGGGTGAGAACTCTTGTTGGCCAAACAGCATTATATATACCTTTCTAGGATATCAATTTTAGGAGCAATTTTCGGCTTACTTTACCAATTTCTGTTTTCTGGCCAAATGCAATGCGACTTTTTCGTATTTGCATAGCTGACCATTAGAATTGGTCATCATAGCTAGCCTTCCCTTCTATTTTAAGGTTGTGGTTTGTGGAGCCAGTTATGAGGGTTGTATGGAAATCAAGGAAAAATAAAATTATATGAATACTTTTACAATTCTGTCTTTTACTTCATACAAATATTTCATTCATGTAATATGATCTTCTAATAGTAATTCAGGTTGTGTGACTTTACCTGCATTAGTTCATTTTTCTATATCATGTAAGTTTGTTGTTTTTTTTTGGAAAATCATATATTTACAAGACATTGTATACACTTTATGGTGTGCACTTTTTGGATTGTGATGGATTGGAATCTTATGTACACTATCTGCTATACACATAATATACACTTACTGAACATTATCGGTGTTCATGTAAGTCACGATGAATCCAAATTTCAAGTTTTCCACATTCATCTTATCTTTAGGCTATAGGCATTCAGTGACTTCATAAATAAATTATGAACAAATTTACAAGTTGATATTTCCTTTGTTACATTACATGCATGTCATTCAAGCTTGCTTAGTTTAAGAATAATAATTTCAAATAAGTATGTAGACTTTATTTAAATTATAGTAGAAAATTTAATTTTTTTTTTGTGTTTTTAGTCCACTAGCCAACCATTTAATTGAAGGTTCGCAAGACAAATGCATATCCTTGATCATATTATATTCCTTCTAATACTTTAAAAAAAAAAAAATTTACATATGATTAATCAAATATATTTAATTAATTTAAAGAATTATGATTCTCATGCTTTATGATTTTTAGATTATAAAAAATTTCTCTTTTACCAAATATTTCTAAAGCAATCCACACCATAATTTTACAAGTTTTATTCCGATAAAAGATCATATAAACAATTTATATTTTTATAATTTTTTATTTACAACTCATCCTGCGTTGTACTTGTTGGTTGATTAAAGAAAGAGACATAATTTTTTTTAATATTTTAATATTAAGGAGATATTACTTATTTGAGAGTCGGTTCTTAGTTTAAGAAACCATGTTGTCAACAAAGCATATGTTTCAATAAGAAGTACTTATAAGAACTAATGCTTAAAATTAAGAACTTATAACAGGTCAACATTGAAGGTGCTCATACTTATAGTAGTACTTTTTATAGTTTGTTGTCACCAAATTCACTATTATTTTCTTTTATTATTTTAACATTACATTAATTTTTAATTATTATACAGTTTAATAAAAAATTATCGATAAAAAATATAGGCAAAAAATAAATTTTTGGAAGAAGTGATATGTAAATAAAATTTTAAAACTTTATAAAAAAAAAATTATTTCAAGTAGATACAAATTATTTAATTGTATTTTAATGGATTTTTTACTAGAAAATGAAAGATGACAAATGCTTTTAAATAATTAAAATGTGAAAATGTAAATATTTGAAAATATAGTCACCAATTTTCATGGTTTGGCGGAAACAGTGTAGTTTCATGTGATTTTATATTTTATTAATAAATTTTAGTAAATATTTTCATTCAGTTTTTAATAAGTTATTAGTTCAAATAGTATAAGATTGAATAATTTAAGTAAATTAAGACTCTACTTTGAATCTAGTGAATAAGAAAAATGTGATTGAAAAAAAAATATATTAAGTTATATTTTCTAATAAAATTTAATAATTAATTTGAATCGAATAAAATTCGATCTCTTGTGTAAAATCTCTAATTTTAAACTTGCAAATGTGCAAAAAAATAATTAAAAATAAATTTTATAAAAGATGCTCAATAATATTTTTTAAATAAAGATTAATCATTAAAAAGTCGTTAAATATTTCTCTAAATCATGATTATAATAAAACTATTAATTAACTTTTAAATTTTGAGCTAACTTACTCGTTAAGTTTTCCAAACATACCATGCTACCATTAATGTAAATAAGATCTGTAAATGTTGTTAAATTAGTCCTAATTTTCTATTTTTATTCAACATTCAACATTAATTTTATCAAAATGAACCCTTTCTAATTTTGAAACAATCGAGCATTAATTTAAGTTTTAAAAGTCAAACAATGTATATACTACGTTTGTTCCGGTGAAAAAAATGTGTATTATATATGTTTACGTTTTCTAAAAGAAAATTAAAGTTTTAAATAGGAAAGGAGTGAATTATTTAATTTAAATTCCAAAAAATCAACTTATGACTATCAGAGTACGTATCAGGTATACGTTCTCTTTTGGTAAAAAAAAATGAAGTTTGAATGAAAAAATCACTTCCAAACAAATCAGAAAAAAAACCTTCAAATTTAATAATAAAAAAATAAGTTTTCAAAGTGAAGAAAATTTACTTTAAAAAATAAAGTATAATAACAATAATTTATTAAAAACTAATAGATATTATAATTAATTTTATATTATATATATATGATTTTATTATGGTTATCAATTGATTTTATAATGAATTATTTAAATTAATAGATTTTGTAAGATTTTTTAAGTAAAATTTATATATAATTTAATTATTTAACAATTTAACCAAAATTTTTGAATTTTGTTTTGACTTTCTTTTTTCCTTCTATTTTTCTTTCTCTCTCTCCAATCTTATCTGGCATTAAGTTCTTTCTTCTCTCTTGTCTTCTTTTCCATTCTCACTCTTTCTTCTTTTTTATTCTCTATCTTCTTTTTTTATCTATTTCATTTATCTATTATTTTTTCTCTATATATTTTTTTAAAAAATATCTATTAATATTGATATGTAATTTATCAATATTTTTAAATTATTAAATATTTTAAATTATTTTAAATTATTAAGTATTATCTATCATTATTTTTATTATTATTAAAACTTAATTAATACTTATTTTCAGTAAAAGTTAATATTGAAATATCAAAATTTTAAATACATTAAAAATAATTTGTTTAAAGTGAAAATTAAATATTTAAAATTTCATAAATTTAAATTAAATTAAATTATCAAAATAATTAAAATTTTAAACATTTTAACTTTTAAATTTTTTCATTTAAACACAATTTAAGATAATTTTTTAAGTTATTTATAAAATTGGCTAAATTACACTTTTGATCCTTTTATTTTTATCAATTCATAGTTTTGGTCCCTCTATTTTAGAATAGAAAATATTTAAAATTTCATAAATTTAAATTAAATTAAATTATCAAAATAATTAAAATTTTAAACATTTTAACTTTTAAATTTTTTCATTTAAACACAATTTAAGATAATTTTTTAAGTTATTTATAAAATTGGCTAAATTACACTTTTGATCCTTTTATTTTTATCAATTCATAGTTTTGGTCCCTCTATTTTAGAATAGAGATATGTAGTCCCCATATTTTTCAAAATATACATTTTTGTCCTATTGTTAATTTGATATTAATTAATAAATTTTGATGTTGTTTAATGATATGTCATCATTTAAGTAACATGATATTTAATGATATGATATATAAAAATAAACAATTTAAAAAAACATACAGAATTTTTTTTATCTATTTTAACAAGTGATTAGTATTTATTTTATTAATAAATTTTATTTATATTTTTTAAGTGTTTTTTATCTCAAAATATCACATCCTTTACATATGAATAAACATTAAAACTTAACTATCAATAAATGTTAATTTAATGAGAGAATCATAATTTTATATTTTTAAAATTAAAGAGACTAAATATCTATATTTTTAAATATAAGACCAAAATTACAGATTGACAAAAATAAAATAAATAAAAATGAAATTTAGTCTATAAAATTAGTATGTGAAATGTACATTCGAAAGGGATAAAAATATAAACTTGAGGGGATGTTTGTTTTGAAGTATGTTACTACTTTCCCATAAATCACATTCTTAGGAATATTATCAATGGAATGTTATTCATGGGAATATTTAACAATGTGTTTAGTGAAATTTTAACATTTTTGAGAATATTTTAAAATTTTAAATTAATTGAAAAAAATGAGTTGAAAAGTGGATTAAAATATAATTTCCTACAATTTCATGAGAATACAATTTTTCTATCCTCGGCCATGGGAATCAAAATGAAGTAATAAAGTGAATTATGTTGTACCTACTTTCCTAGGAATAAATTGTACTTGAGAATATTTTTCAAACATTTAAACAAATATGAGTGTACGGTGCCGGATTCCGACCATGGGGTTAACAAGGGACAGGTCGG